AGTAGCAACAATGCAGTAGTGGAAAGTGAGGACCACACACGACCTTAAAGGCTAGAGGCTGGCCCAGGCGTGGTGGGGCTCACACCTGTATTCCTGGCTACTCAGGTAGGCTGAGATCTGAGGACTGTGATTCAAAGCCATCTAGGGCAGGAAAGTCCATGACATTCTTATCTCCAATGAACCGCCTGAAAACTAGCTCAAAGTGGTAGAGCATTAGCTTTGAGCACAAAGGCTCAGGGACAGTGCTCAGGCCCTAGTTTCAAGCCCCACAATGGACTTTAAAAAAAAAAAAAAAAAAAAAGACCAGAGAACCTGCATCTAGCAAAGCCATAAAAGGTTGAAATGAGGAGAGACCAGATGTAGGCAGGTTTCTTCCCTTGAGGCTACATTTGCTCTCAGTTAAGGTTGGTCCTCATTATTCACCAGGTCCAGCTCCCTGGGGTGAGTTATTTTGTAGATCAAATCCTATTTCTAAGCTACTGTGCCATATAAGAGTAATACTGCCAGGTGCTGGTAGCTTACACCTGTAATCCTAGCTACTCAGGAGGCTGAGATCTGAGATTCGAGGTTTAAAGCCAGCCGGGGCAGGAAAGTCTGTGAGTCTCTTATCTTCAGTAAACAACTCAAAACCAGAAGTGGAGCTGTGGCTCAAAGGGTTAGAGCACTAGCCTTGAGCAAAAGAGCTCAGGGACAGCGCCAGACTCTGAGTTCAAGCCCCAGGACCCACAAAATAAGGCAAGTGGGGGAGCAAAATTGTTGCCTGGTGCAAGTGGCTCATACCTGTCATCCTAGCTACTTAGGAAGCTGAGATCTAAGGATCTCAGTTTGAAATCAGCCCAGGCAGGAAAGCCTGTGAGACTCCTACCTCCAGTTAACCAGCAAAATCCCAGATGTGGACTTATGGCCCAACTGGTAGAGCAGTAGCTTTGAGCAAAAAAGCTAAGGGACAGTGCCCAGGCTCCAAGTTCAAGCCCCAGTAATAGTACATAAAAAGATTGTTAATGCCCCCATAAAGTAAACTGGAATGGGATAGGAGGCTTGGTCAGATGGGCCCTGCGGAGAGGAGGGCAATGGGAGGCTGCAGAATCTTCTGCCTTGGATTTCTCTTATAGGGCTGCCCCACCTTGAGTGTCACCCTCATTCTCTCCAGAGCCCCCCAGACTTAGACTTGGGTGTTAATAGCAGCACCTTGCCCCAAATGTGGAGTGTGAGGAGGGAATCAGAGCTGTTTTGCTCCTGCTTTCTTCCTCTCAGATGAAGCCTGCTCTCCAGGATGGTCTTCAGACTACGCAAAGCCAGAGTCAGGAAGCCAAGCTGTTCCACCCTAAAGGGTACTGCTTGGGGGATGTGGAAGTCCAGAATTTTTGCCCATGGGCTTCATCTTGTCCCTCTAGATAACCAGCTAACATTCTGAACTGGGCAGAATTGAGCATGTCCTTGTCAAGGTTACTAGTCTGGATGTGCAGGATTGTGTCCAGAAAGTGTTGAGGAATGAGGACTCTGGACCCAATGACAAGGAGTAGTATAGAAAAGAGCTCCCAAACAGAAAGGGCAGGAGGAATCCTCAGCCTTGGTAGAGCTAAAGTATAGGAGTGTATAACATTTATTGAAGTGTCCTCTTTACTGACTGGATAGTTATGTGATCAGGAATACTTGGAGCTTTCTTATTGATTGGGTGTATGTGTTTATGTAATGTGTGTGCCCATGTGCATGCCAGTACTGGGGCTTGAACTCCAAGGCCTGGGCATTGTCCCCTAGCTTTTGTGCTCCAATCTGGCTGTCTACCACTTGAACTATAGCTCTACTTCTGGCTTTTTGCTGATTAGTTGGAGAAAAAAGTCTCATGGACTTTCCTGCCCAAGCTGGCTTTAAACCACAGATCTCAGCCTCCTGAGTGGCTAGAAGTACAGGAGTTAGCCACCAGTGCCTGGCTTGTGTGGTGTGTATGTGTATGTGGGGGGGGGGGGGGGCATGTCTATACGTACATGTCCATACTGGTACTGGGACTTGAACTCAGGGCCTCATACTCTGGTTTAGCTTTTTCACACAAGGCTAGCACTCTACCACTTGAGACATAACCCTGCTTCTGGGTTGCAAATACAAGTCTCATGGACTTTTCTGCCTGGGCTGGCTTTGAACCATGATCCTCAGATCCCAGCCTCCTAAGTATCTAGGATTATGAGATGAGCCATTGGCACTGACTAAAGGGAACTTTTTCACATGGAATCAGCTGCCTGAGAGAGAATCTCTCATGCTTTTCACTTTTGGGTACCTTGTTTTCCTCTCACAAACTGAGTGCCTTCTTCAAAAAATGTTTAAGAACAAGACACTTAAACAGGATACAGTAACACAAATATGCCAAGGAAAACAATGCAGGAGGTCTTTAGAGAGAGGCATTAGCTAAAGTAGGTCAATTAGGGCCACCATTGGGTGCCAGAGGAGTGCTGTCTTGTTAATGGACATCCTGGCTGAAGCTTTCTGAAGTTTCTCTCCAGAAGTGAAATTAAAATCACACAATTAAAATGCTCACAGCTGGAGCTGGATGTTCTTGAACTGATTGAAAGATGAAGTGGACACGCGAACATTTTGAAGCAGCAATTGTTTCTGTAATTAAATGCAATTAACTGGCATAAATGTCTGATTTTTCTTCACCTAAGACTGATTGAAATGCTAAGACTTAAAAAAAAATCCACACCTGATTTCTCTTCCCATCCTACCTGAAAATCTCACCAGTGTATTCAGACTTTGAAGACTATACATTGGCACAGAAAGTTTAAGTTCAAGGTGACCACATCAGGAAAATTGGGAGGAACCACACTATATAAAATAGAGTCCCGCTGGAGTCTAGTGTCTCCCACCTGTAATCCTAGCTATCCAGGAGGCTGAGCACTGAGGATCGCCTTTTGAAGCCAGCCTGGGCAGGAAAGTCTATGAGACTCAATGCCAATTAACCACCAAAAAACCCTGTCTCTCTGTCTCTCTCTGTGTCTCTTTGTCTCTGTCTCTGACTCTCTCCCTCTTTTCTCTCTCTCTCTCTCTGTCTCTCTCTGTCTCTCTGTCTCTGTCTCTCTGTCTCTGTCTCTCTGTCTCTCTCTCTCTCTCTCTCTCATACACACACACACACACACACACACACACACACACACACACACCACAAAGAAGAAGGAAGAAAAGAGAGCCCAGTGCAGCCCAATGGACATCACCTCTCTTAAACCACACACTCTGCCTTTGCACAATAGAAATTAAATCTAACAATGGCTTATCTCTTCAAAGGAACCATTGCCTGAAAGTGATAACCAACCTGCAGACTCCAAAAATGAAGATAAAATGTTTACTAGCTTTTAGCTTTTTTTAAGTACTGTAGTTTGAACTCAAGGTGTGCAACCCACTCAGCTGGTGCTCAACCATTTGAGTCATGCCTCTAGACCAGCTTTTTGCTGGTTATTTTGGAGATGGTATCTTGTGGACTTTTTTGCCCTTGAACTACAATCCTTCAGACCTCAGCCTCCTGATAATTAGGATTGAAGGAGTGAGAGTGAATCACTGGCTCCACTGGCTTTTTTTAAATGCATACTTTATGTTGCTATTATTGTATTTTTAAATTAATTTTTAATGTATTTTTTGTTTATGTGTACCAAGGAATTAACCCAGGGCCTCCTGTATATTAGGCAAATACTTTACCACTAAGCCACATTCCCAGCCCTCCATTAGCTTTTGTAAAGAACATTTTTACAAATCATAATAAATCTGGAAATTGATAAAATAATCAAAAAAATTTCATATAACCTCACCATATAGAGAGAACCACTCTTTTTTTCTTTCTTACATGAACCCTCAATTGATATTGAACATTCATTCATTCATGCATTTTGTGCCTGTACTAGGGCTTGCACTCAGGGCCTGGGCACTGTCCCTGAGCTTTTGTGCTGAAGGCTAGTGCTCTTCTTCTTGAGCTATAGCTCCACTTTCTCCTTTCTGGTGGTTCATTGGAGATAAGAATCTCGCAGCATTTCCTGCCCAGGCAGGCTTTGAACAGAGATCTTCAGATTTCAGCTTCCCCAGCAGAATTACAGGTGTGAGCCACCAGCACCTAGCTCTGGATGTCTATTCATAATGTTGTAATAGACATATCTATATCTTCATTGTTGTTTATAATACTCTTAGAAATTTAACATTTCACAAACATTTGAAGTGTCCAAATAAACTCTCATCATATGTACAAATTTATGTTGACCATCCTTGTATTATTAAACATACAAGCCAGTCACAGAATTTTGCTGTTATAATAATATGGAAAAGACAATTTGTTGTAAAATTTTTCCTTCATTTAGAACTTTATTGGAACTTTTAAGTTGTTTTATTATGTATTTTTGTGCCAGTACAGGGGCTTAAATTCAAGATCATGAACTTTGCCCTGGGTTTTTCACTCAAAGTTGGTGCTCTACTGCTTAAGTCACTTTTCTACTTCTGGCTTTTTGTGGTTAGTTGGAGATAAAAGTCTCTTAGATTTGCCGGCCTGGACTGGTTTCAAACTTTGATCCTCAGATCTCAGTCTCTTGAATAGCTATGATTATAGATGTGAGCCACCAGCTCCCTGACTGAAGCCGCCTTCTGAGTGAAATATCCTGGGCCAATAGCTAGAATTACGTTTTGAAGCTTTTAGTTTATTCTGGTAATTGCCCTCTGGGAACAGAGTAAGAAGCTGGCGGGAGCAATTCGGAGTCCCCACCGATATGGAGCATCAACTCTGAAACCTGTGGAAAGCCCAGTAGACATTTCCAGAGAAAACAGATCCTCTGCATCTGGAATAATTTGCAATTTGAATTGCTCAAGTATCTGACTGTGTTTCCCAGTCAGGATCAGACCATGTGGAGGCCACTACAGGGAAGGGTCCATCGAGTGGTAAAATTATTGCCATGAGCACCAGGGAAGAGACAAGCTGCTGTATCTATGAGGACCTATAGCCAGGTTAATCTCTCTCTCTCTTGTCTGTCTTCTAGCTGTGTTGATCCAAGATGGACATAAGGTGACCCTAGAGAAGATAGAAGACTGGAATTTGGTGGAACTCATGGTAAATGAAGAAATCGTCTTCCACTGCAACATTAAGGACTTGGACTTTGGTGAGTAAGGTTTGTGTACAACCTTCTGCCTCCTTTGAAATGTCTCTCTGGTCAGTGTGTCATGCTTAAATCCAAATTGGGTTTCTTTTTGAGTGTTTAGGGGTTTTTAGTTTTTTTTTTTGGGGGGGGGTGTTGGTGCTGGTCCTGGGGACTTGAACTCAAGGGCTAGTGCTTTCCCCAACTTTCTTGCTCAAGACTAGCGCCCTACCACTGGAGCCACAGTTGTACATCTAGCTCTTTGGTGGTTAGAGATAAGAATCTCACAAACTTTTCTCCCTGGGTTGACTTTGAGCCTTGAGCCATACTCCTCAGATCTCAGCCACCAGAGTAGCGAGTGTCAAAGACATGAGCTGCCAGCCCCAGGCTTGTTTTAAATTCATACTCAGAGGCTTATGTGGCACATGAAAAAGAGCATCACAAACCACACCTAGAAAAGGGAAGAACTTGTTGCCAGAACTCTGGAAACATTGGTTTGTGAGTTTTGTTTTATTTGTGTGTGTGTGGTGTGTGTGTGTGTGTGTGTGTGTGTGTGTGTGTGTGTGTGTGTGTGTGTGTGTGTGTGTGTGTACTGATACTGGGGCTTGAACTCAGAGCCTGGGTTCTGTCCCTGAGCTTTTATTTTATTTGCTCCACTTCCTGAATGCTGGAAACAGAAGAGGAAAGAAAATGAAGTTAAGACTGGCCTTCATGCATATGTGCTGGAACTTAAGGACAATTGTTTTTAGTACTTTAATGTTTTATTATTGTTTTCTTTCAAAGTGATTTTTCTTTTGTCCTGAACTCAAACCCAGAATCTGATGTTTTGCTCATTGGCTGGCACTCTACCACCTGAGCCATGCCTGGGGCTGGGAAGGTGGCTCAGTGGTAGAGTGCTTGCCTTGCATGCATGAGGCCCTGGGTTTGATTCCTCAACACCACATAAGCAGAAAAAGCTGGAAGGCACTGTGGCTCAAGTGATAGAGCTGAAGAGCTGAGGGACAGTGCTCAGGCCCAGAGTTCAGGCCCTACAACTGACCAAAAAAAAAAAAAAAAGATTTTTAGTTAGCTTATTCATTCTATCCAGACTTGCCGAGAGTCAGCTTGCCTGCAGTGCAGAACACTTTCCACAATGTTCTAGAGATTTGTTTGCAGGGTTTCTGGCCTAGGAGTAAACTTTTCCAATCTACTAAGACTCTATTAAAACCTAGTTAACATTTTACATATCTTTAAAATGGTGAGGCATGGCTTAGTTGATAGAGCACTAGCCAATGAGAGAAAGCATCAGGAATTGAGTTTGAGTTTGGATCTCAGAGCTAAAAAAATGCATTGCTAGTGGGAACTCAGGTATATTTAATAGAACAGTATATTATGCATAATGCTAGCCAAAATCAAATTTTATTATTTTCTAGGAGGTGATGGTCAACTGGACCCCCTGTGTGAGAAGGCCAGGATCGCTGTGCTAGATGCCTACTGATCTCCTCATGGAGCCAGCAGAGTGAACATCAGCTTCCTGGTCTAGTCTGGAACACCAGCCACACAGGCCCTGTGGGAACCACACCCTGAGCCTCACCAACCAGAGCAAGCTGCACCCTCTCTGCCTGCATAGCCTCAGGCTTGCCACCCATGCACAGGGGCTCTGCAAAAATAATAAAACCACATCATTTGCAGCACCTCTCAATCTGGTTCCATAGGGAGAGCCCTCTAATATCAGGTACACATTGAGCTGAAGGAAATAATAAAATGCAATCTAATAACAAAGCACCATCCCTTACTAATAATGCACAGTTGCCAGAAGCATTTGAGATTCCATTCTACAGGAAGTGAAGATCTAGAATCAGGTACAATTAAAAAGGCCTTTGAAAATCTGACCAGAAAGTCAATGTGAGTACAGTATTTGGAAACCTGGCTATTGCTATAAATTTATTTCTTTTTCCCATTGGAACAAATAATTAAAATTGCTAACATAAAATTAACTTAAAAAAAATCAGATCTTCAGTTATTCTCATCTAAAACAAGACACACCTGTAATCCTAGTTACTCAGGAGGCTGAGGATGTCTCTTCAAAACCAGCCCAGGCAGGAAAGTCCATGAGACTCTTATCTCCATGACCAGCAAAAAGGCAGAAGTGGATCTGTGTCTCAAGTAGTAGAGCACTATCCCTAATGGAAAAAGCTAAGCTATATTGCCCAGGCCCTGAGTTCAAACAAGCCCCAGAACTGTGAAAAAGAAAAAAAAAAAATAAAGGACCAGGCTCCAGCGGCTTATGCACAATCCCAGCTACGCAGGAGGTTGAGATATAAGGATTGTGGAAGCCGGAAGATGCATGTTCAAAGACAGCTCAAGCAGGGAAGTCCGTGGGCTCTTATCTTTAATTAACCACCAAAAAGCTACTACTGGAGCC